TCCTCTCCAGTTGGGACTTGAGGAGGAGAGGACGAGACATGACTTACCTCCTTGAGTTTTCTCTAGCTTGGGAAGGAAGAACATCTAGGTATCTTGTATTCAAGTAAGGGGTAGAATCTTCTTCAAACTTTTTAAGACCTCGATAGAAATAGGGGCAAAGTGTTCATTTGGAGAGCACCTGTCCACCACACACTTAATTTTCACTCTATCCTGTGGCAGGTTCATATTATCTTCCATTGGTTTTTTTGGGGAGGGGGTTGAAGAGAGAGGCTAGAAAAAAAAGCTTCTCTATTGAAATATAATATAATTGGTTACATGCCAAGTTGACTCTTAGCCACCACATAGATAGATTTTTCTCCGCTATGTTCTCTCTCTAACTTGCTCCTTCAGCTCTTCCAAGATGCATTCATCATTACTATAACTGAGTCTGTCCACCTTGATGCTGGTTGACTTATAATAATAATAATGATGATTATAAAGTTGGAAGGGACCTTGGAGGTCATCTAGTCCAACCCCCTGCTCAGGCAGGAAACCCTATACTATTTCGGACAAATGGCTGTCCAGTTTCTTCTTAAAAACTTCCAGTGTTGGCACGTTCACCGCTTCTGGAGGCAGGTTGTTCCACTGGTTAATTGTTCTAACTGTCAGGAAGTTTCTCCTTAGTTCTAGGTTGCTTCTCTCTTTGGTTAGTTTCCACCCGTTGCTTCTTGAACTTTCTTCTTTTACTTTCCATCTTTCAGTGCATTGTAGATTTCTTCAAAGAATTAGGCCTTGAACTAATGGGATGGATTGACCTAAAAGAATTATCCCTAAAAAAATTAGTTGCTGGACAAATGTTCATTTTTCTATATAATTAAGATCTTCTAAGAGAATAGGGCATCTTTAACTGATGAATTCCATTCCAGGGTTTCTCAGGCATCTTTCCTAATATATTTGGATCCAGATGTGCAGAAAAACTTCATAACACTGTTTAACAGAGTCTGTCTTCACAGCCCCAAGATAAGCGGTCCAGTTTCTGGTTTGTTGTTTTTTTTTGCCAAGAAGGTGGATGAACAACTTGGATTGTTCACCTGCAAGAAGGTACCGACAATGAAAAACAAATCCAATTTAGTTCTTAGGAGCCTTGATTTACTTGAAGTTTGCCCTTATGAATTAAACTTCTCTTGCCTGCTTATCTGGCATTGCATTCAGCCCCAGCCCCTCCTTAAATGATCAGGCCATGTGATTTAGAACTGTGGTACTTGAAAATGTCAAGAAGGACCAATAGGAATGTCGGAAAGGTAGGAGTAGCTATCCTGGTCAACTCAGCACCTTTTGAAGCAGATTTATAACATCTGATAAGCTGCTTTAGGGCATCAGTAAGTGACTTCTGATCTGAAATTATTCTCCTTAGATCTTAAAAGCTGTATATCTGTCATTTTTTTTTCACTCTTGTGGATTAAAAAAAACACTTGTTTTTAACAAAGCAGTTTTACAGTCATGCCTCTGAAGGAAGGCTCCCTTGTAAGTAGAGGCTTATGGACTTCCCCCTCTTATCTGTTTAACTGCTTTATAATGTTTACCTCTGATCATCAGGAACAAAGATGTTTTCCGGCAGATTTATGGCAGTGTTTAAGGTGTGGATTAGGAACAAGGGGATCTATCTGACAAGTGTAATCTGAACTATGAAAGGTCACCGCAGGACTTTGGGCCAATTACTCTCTTTCTTCCCACCTACCTCACAGGGTTGTTGTTGGGATAAAAGGCTTTCCTCGACTACTTGAAGAAAAGGAAGCTTTAAGAGGTGCGGACTTCGAATCCCAGAATTCCTCAGCCAGCATGCTGGCTGAGGAATTCTGGGAGTCGAAATCCATGCAATTTAAAAAGTGGTCAGGGTTGAAAAATACTGGCCTAGATCTTCTGTTGTCGGAGCCATCAGAAGTAATCAAGCAAATCAGTACTTTTCATTCAAGGCAGACAAGTTATTAGTTAATGTGTTATCTCAGTAAGTTTCGCAACACAGTGTGGGACAATGTAATTCAGCCCACCCCTTTCTCCCTGAAAAAAACGCATTGCTATAAAGTGCTTTTTTATGTCTTTATTTCCTAGGTTATCTTATCATGGAAAAAGGGCCAGTGGCACCTTGGCTGATTGATTTTGCTCTTCCTATCTTTTTCATAAACACATTTATTTTTTTGCATTTTCTAAGGGCCAGTTTGGTGTAGTATCAGGTTGAAAACTAGGATATCATGTGTTCTAGTCGTGCCTTGGGCATGAGGCCCATGGACCAATCAGTCTCTTTCTGTCCTAGGAAAGAAGCAAAAAATGCTTCTTCCCCCCAAAAAATGCCTTGCCCAAAAAACTGCAGAAAGATAAGGGGAGGGAGGGGGGAAGGAAGGAAAAAAGGGAAGAGGAAGGAAAAAAAAGAAAAAATAAGAAAAAGAAAGAAAGAAAGAAAGAAAAAGAAAGAAAGAAAGAAAGAAAGAAAGAAAGAAATAAAGAAAGAAAGAAAGAAAGAAAGAAAGAAAGAAAAAGAAAGAAAGAACAGTCTGGTGTGAGCAAATTTTAGATTTTGTTGCACATTCTGCCCCATGGAATTGCCTCATCTTGGAAAGTTTTTTTAGAATCCTTCTGTTGCAGTTCTCCTTTGCTTACATAGCTCATCTGATTACTTAATTGGGAATCTGTGGGAGTTTCTTTAATCTTTCTGCAAAGCAGAAGTATGCTATGTTGTGTTGAGAAACAAAGTTATCTGAAAACAATTCCTTTGATTTCCGAAGCATTTTCCCCGGCATCAAAGCCTTAAAGAATGCAACAGTTGTGTTTAGTTCCTATATTTTCCTTGCTTAAAAGAAGTGATTGCTACATTTCACCCATGAAAAGATGAAGGAGATTTTCTCCTCCAGAATAATATAAACTCTCTTTATAGTTATGATGATCTTCTACCAGATTAAGTTGATTATAATGTATCTTCCTAAAACTTTTTTTCTCTGCAATATTTTAAACCATGCATTTTATTATAAGGTTAAAAGAAGAAATATAATAAGAGTCTTATCCTCTTTGAATATTTTTGGTCTAATTAAGGTGAGGAGGATTGGATATATATGCAATATATATGCAATAATAATAAGAGAAAGCCTGATAAAGATAATTACCATATGTGGAAGCTGAAGTTTGGAAATGGCTGTGATTAATTATTCCTTCTTGCCATATATATTCACTTTTGATACCAAGATGAAGCTTAGCTAAGGTTGTTGTTATAATTATCATTTCTTGACATGCTTTTTTTTTCATTCCAGAAGACCTCTTCTATTTATATATGCCCAAATTCTATATAATGCAGAGAGATAGCTGTCTGCATAATAAAACTGATCCTGTTCTGCTACACATTGCAGGAGGCAAAAAAAAAATTAAAGTAGTTTGATATTGTCAACATTTGCACTAACCAATTTTGTTAATCTTCTATTGACACATTTTTGAAACTGCAATTATTTCCTTGGCTTTTTCAGTATGGTTGCAAATGGTTAACAATAAATCCTTCTACCAATAGGAATATACTTACTGATCAGTCAGTAAAATATGAAATTGTTTTTATTTTAAAACTGCTTAACTACTCCAACTTAAAATAAATAGTACAGCATATATTTCATTGTTACGGTGATTATATACATTTGCTAATTGCAGGAATATAAACTTGTGTCACAATTCTCTAGCCTGAAACAATTTTCTGAACATTGTAGTTTAAAAATATATCCCTGCATTAGATCAGTGGATGTGAAAAATGAGCACCCAACACAAGCCTTTTGTTAAACAATTAGCATTAGGAATGCCAGCAGATTGGGAAATCTGATAGACCCTAGAAAGATCAATATTCTATTTCTTAGTCATTTGGATTGTGCTTTGGAAATCTAAGGGAACTGAGCAGGATTGCCTTAAATGAAATGAAGAGGGGCTAAAATAGATAAAACCATAGAAAGGAAACACAGAGACGCAAATTAATCTCTTGTTTAGCTTTTTATGAGTTCATTGCCTCTCTTTTCATCCAAGAAACCTTAGGACGTGGTAGGACATTATGGCCAGTTGTGGGTTACACAATCTTCATTTCCCAACTGATTGGCGAAAATTGTTGTATAAATGTGGGAATGGCAACCTTCTGGCCCTTGAGAAATGAATTGGCCGAAAATCAAAAACAGGAGGGGGGTGGGTTGTTTTTTGTTTTTAAAAACTAAGTTGCAAATAATGAAAAGTGAATTCTCAGGCTGATTCTATTCCAGAGAAAACATCCCTTATATCCAATTTACATTTTTGCTTCCACCACTGTGGTCTTCCCTTTTAAAGGAGGTTTTGAGTGTGGATCCTGGTCACCATAACCTTGTCCTTTCCCTCTAATCTTGTCATCCAAGACTGACGTCTTGGATTTTATGCAAGTGACATCACCAGTCCTTTCATTTGGGTTTCCAGACATGTTATCCCCTAATTTTGTGACTTTTGATGCTCTGACCTTCTAGTGTCTGGAAAAATTGGTTTTAAGTAGCTCTGCAGAGGTCTGTTGTAACTTCAAACTGGTCATTAAGTGAGGACTTTCTGTATGTGCAAACTCTGTGGATGGGCAATCTAATCCTTTAGACGTTTCAAGTGTGGTCATCCAGTAACCTGGATAGCAGTAGTGAGAATGCTGGAAGTTCTGGGTTTATCTAGAAGGTTTTGAGTTGTCTCCTTTTGGAGAGGTCTTTGGTGCTCTCTGAGCTTGGTTCTTTTCTTGCCGACGTTTCATTACCCAAACTAGCTAACATCATCAGTATTGGGAGTGGGGTTTGCTCTCATTTTATATTCTATTTATGTCTTTCTGGGAATGTAAGAAATACGGACAGTAATCTTCCTCAATCAGGTGTCTTTCAGATGTTCTGGACTACAAGTCTCACCATCCCTGATCTCAGCATGATCATCGACCAGCCTTCATTATTTTCCTTCCCCACAATATGGTTATTATTAACGTTTGATTCTTTTGCATCTTCCTCCAGGATCTGGCCAGGGAGAGGCAGAGACAAGAGAATGCATTTATTACAATGCCAACTGGGAACTGGAAAAGACTAACCAGAGTGGAGTGGAGCGTTGCGAAGGTGAAAAAGACAAGCGCCTGCATTGCTATGCATCGTGGAGGAACAACTCTGGATTCATTGAACTAGTGAAAAAAGGATGTTGGCTTGATGACTTCAATTGTTATGACAGGTAAGGGCCAAGAGGTAGGAATTCTATTTTCATGAAATAGGGACATTGTCCTAAATTCCTGTTTAGTAGTTCATGTCACAGGAATGGCCACAGACCGGCTGCCAGCGATAGAATTTTGGCTCCGTGATTCCTATTCTTAATGTAAACAACTGTCAGGCACAAATAATCAGGGGCATTCCTTGAGTTCAAAGCACAAGCGTTTTATTATTACTACCTATAAAAAAGAATTTAGTCCACTAATGTTCAGAGTTAAATTGGCTAAATTCAGTGGAATTCACAGGGGGCTGGACTTGAATCTCTATGGCGACGCAATGAGTCTAAACTGATGGGACGTTTAACTCTGCTTTCCAGCTCAGCCTGCTCTTCTATAACAACTAAATCATACCATCCCCCCTATTTTATTTATGTCATTCTATCAGTGGGTCAGAGTGAGTAGGGCATTGAAAGTCTTATGGTAGCCAAAAGCTACCCATTTGATTTTCATTTCTTTTGATGCTTAGGTAGAGATTTACAAAACAGACTTAATGGAAGTTGTTAAAACAATTGTTTTTAACATTGTACACCAAGCAGACCTGCTATGGAATCAGATAGCAATTGGGTGACTGGGCAGTGAACAAAATTAAAACTAAAATAAAAACAAATGGAGTAAGTTGATTGATTGATTGATTGTGTGCCATCAATTTTTTGAATTCTAGCAATTACAAAAATTTATCCAACCAAAATGTAAATATGCAAAAATAAATTATTCATTAACCAAGAAAAGCCAGCTGGATGACTTGGGGCCAATCATCAGGAGACCATGAGTTCTAGTCCTGCCTTAAGCATGAAAGTCAGCTGGATGGCTATGAGCCAGTCATTCCCTTTCAGTCCAACCTATCTCACAGGGTTGTGGTGGTGGTGGGGAAAAGAGGAGAAGGAAGGAGTGTTAGATAATTCACTGCCTTATGTACAAAAATAATTTCTAAAATATAAAATAAATGAACAAAGCTTAAAAGATCTAAATAAATGGGTCCCTTCACATACTCAGGATCCGAGACCTGGGCACAGAGCCAGGACTTTACAAAAGGCCAGCAAAGTTGGCACCATTTCTGGTAAAGCCACCAATTCAATCATCACATACTGGTAAAAAGTTTTTTAAAAATCAGGTTTTACAGTGTTTCCTTTGGCAAAAGTCCTCATTTGTAAAGAAACCCCCAACATCAACTCCCAGAATTTTTAAGAGCGAGAAAGCCCCCCCCCCCCCCCCCCCAGTCCATCCCCAAATCCTTCATTTTACGATCCCTGACTGTCTGGAATCAAACTGACTTAACCAGCTGTGAAGCTGAGCTCCAAGCCAAAAACGAAGCCATATCAAACCACCATTTCCTCATGGCTGGCTGGGTAGTCCCCGACTTACAACAGTTCGTTTAGTGACTGTTCAAAGTTGCAACGGCACTGAAAAAAGTGACTTATGACCGTTTTTCACACAACCATTGCATCATCCTTATGTTCATGTGATCAAAATTCAGATGCTTGACAACTGATTCATATTTATGACGGTTGCAGTGTCCCGGGGTCATTTGATCACCTTTTGTGACCATCTGACAAACAAAGTCAATGGGGGAAGCCAGGTTCGCTTAACAACCCCGTGTCACTAACTTTAACAACTGCGGAGATTCAGTTGACAACTGTGGCAAGAAAGGTTGTAAAATGGGGTGAAACTCACTCAACAAATATCTCACTTAGCAACGGAAATTTTGGGCTCAATTGTGGTTGTAAGTTGAGGATTATCTGTACTAGCCAGAGCTTCTGCAAATCATAGTTCAACAAGAGACTGGACAGCCATTTGTCCGAAATGGTATAGGGTTTCCTGCCTGAGCAGGGGGTTGGACTAGATGACCTCCAACTTTATTATTATTATTAAGGTCCCTTCCAACTTTATTATTATTATTAAGCACTGGGGAGCAGTGGTTCCCTTATTTGCCCCTCCCTATGACCCCCCCCCCAAGGTAATCCCTGCTAAATGGGGTTATTTTCACAGAGCTACTTTGAGGAGTGGGAAGGCTGACGGTCAAGCTGACTTCAGTTTAAAGCCTCTATGTTAGGTCAACCATTGCCTGTTTTTTTTCCCACGTAATTGTAGAATCCAGGAAAGTAAAAAAAAATATATCTCCCAGGTGTTTTTGCACAATGAAAGCCCAGTCCTTTCCAACCTGTTCAAGAGAATGTCCTGTACGTGGCAAACCACGTGCTCTTGTTTGCTTGTTTGCTGTAGAATAGGAGAAATTAATCATTTGGAGCGGCAATCTGGAGAAAAACAATTTAGGGTCGAGGGCAGAATGACTGGGACCGTGGGCTTGCTTTTGAGCGACTATTGTCATTAATTGCCCATTTCAGGATGGCCACACAATCATCCGCATTCTATTTCTGTTTTGTTTTTGATGGCGTCAGCTAAACCACTCAGCTGTATTCTTTTTTAAATGCACTTAGTTGGTTTTCTCTTTGCTCCAGGAGTTTATTAAATGTTTACAACCACATCAGTAATAGTGGCTGAAAGAAAAAAGTTAGATTTATAACGAGAAGTGGGATGATGGTCATGGCTGAGAGAAAAACAAAATAGTCTGAACCTATTAGGTATGGCATTTCAAGTGGGCTGATGGTGGGAGCATTTCTTTGAACTGACCATGATTCTTGCAAGCACTCCAGTCATCAGGAATGGGTCATGGAATCCCTGTTTGCATTATAGATAGTCCTTGACTTATGATTGGTTGGCTAGTGACCATTTGATGGTACAATGGACCTCCAAAAGCTACTTATGACCTGGTTTTGAAATAGTGACTAGTTCCTGAGCACCCAAAGTGTGCTCGCATGACTGTAGAGGACCCCCAACCATAAGAAGGTTGACTCTGGGTCATAAGTACCTTCCTGGTTGGTCCATCAGAACTTAAGTGACCAGTCATAAGTCAAGGACTCTGTACTCTGTTCAGCTGAGCACACTCCTGATTCCCTGTTGTCCATGTGATAAGGCATGGAATTCCCATATCATGGATGGAAGAAGTTCAGGTTGATATCACTAGGAGGACATGTGATCGATCTTGGTGGCATCTCAGAGAAGGATGTGCTAAACACAGCCAAGGAAACAAAACTGAACTTCAAAAGAAATGTTATCCATTTAGGGTGGAATTGCTGGATACAGGGATAAAGGGCCATCTTTTCTTGGGTAGCTTTGAAGACTAAGCGATTTTTCTTGGACGCTTGTTCTCCAAAATACTCTTTTCTGCATTTCCTAAGGGAGACTTCTACCAGGGGTTTACACAACTATTTGTGCAAGTAGGTCACTTGGTGCAGATTACAAACTATGGCCCAAATATTTCGGCATGATAAACTGGAACGTAAGAGGTTGAAGCCAAAGTTTGTTTACCACAAAATGTGTTTTTGCATTGCATCACTTTGGCCCCTGGCATAGCCAAAAGGGCAGGTCAGCCTGCCATAGAAGAAGGACAATCAGAAATTCTTATAATTTCCATGAAAAGAAAAAAAAATAAAATTATTTCATAAGAGATTGGCTTGTAGATTTTAATAATAATAATAACAACAACAGAAAATGGAGGCAAATCCAGTGAGAATTAGTTCATAGTTACAAGCTGATAACCATCCTGAATGGTACACAAGGTTCTCATGTTTAGTGAAGGCTCCATCATTTTGTGTGGATTTGCAACATAAAGATTTCATTGATGGTGATACCATACAGGTAGTCCTTCATTTACAACAGTTCACTTAGTGACCGTTCAAAGTTACAACAGCCCTGAAAAAAGAGACTTATGATCATTTTTCACACTAAAAACCATTGCATCATGGCTGGCTCAGGAATTCTGGGAGTTGAAGTCCACGAGTCATAAAAGAGCCAAGGTTGCCTACCCCTGGCATAGATAGTCCTTGACTTATAACCATTAATTTAGCAACTGTTTGAAGTTATGATGATGCTGGTCCTTACACTTAACTATTCCAGTATTCCTGCAGTCACATGACCAGAATTTCAGCCTTTGGCAATTGGCATGGATTTGTGATATTTGGACTGTCCCGGGGTCATGTGATCACCATAACCTTGTGACCTTCCCGGCCAGATTCTGACAAGCAAGGTTAATAGGGGGAAGCCAGAGTTGTTTAATTACCATGTGCTTCAGTTAATGACTGGGGTGATTCTCTTAACCATGGCAAAAAAGGTTGTAAAATCAGACAACTCACTTAACAACCATCTTACTTAGCATCGGAAGTTCCAGTTCCCAGTTATGGTTGTAAGTTGAGGACTACCTGTAACTATTATAACTACATCTTTGCTTCCTCTAATTTGACCTTCTGCCAGTTTCTTTCAAAGTTTGAAGATCCCTTACCAAGAATTTTGTTCCTTTAAAACCTCTTACATCTTAAAATATGGTGCATCAGCAAAATAGGAAAATAAAAATAATCTGCTTGCACAGAGAAGCAGGTTGAGTTGCGTGGACAACACAGGAATTCACTGTCTTAGCTTCTTTTCTTTTGTGTTGTTTTAATCTATAGGCAGGAATGTGTGGCCACAGAAGAGAATCCACAAGTCTATTTCTGTTGTTGTGAAGGGAATTTCTGCAATGAAAAGTTCACTCATTTACCTGAAGCTACTGGCCCACAAGGTGAGAGTCAAAACTATAACTGTTTTGAACCTGGTTCAGTAAGTTTCCGTTTTTGGTTTTTTGTTTTGGTTTTTTTTTGTTTTACAAAATGCAGTTTTTTCCAGGTTCAGGAAAAAGGAGGCTGGAGCCTAAAAGATATGAAGAACGGTTGCAGAAATTGGGTATGTCTAGTTTAATGAAAAGGACGAGGGGTGACATGATAGCAATATTTGAGGGGCTGCCTTAAATAAGAGGGGGCCAAGCTATTCTTCAAACCAGGACAAGAAGCAACGGATAGAAACTAATCAAGGAGAGAACCAACCTAGAACTAAGGAGAAATTTCCTGACAGAACATTTAACCAGTGGAACGACTTGCCTCCAGAAGTTGTGGGTGCTCCGACACTGGAGGTTTTCAAGAAGAGACTGGACATCCATTAGTCTGAAATGGTATAGGGTTTCCTGCCTGAGCAGGGGGTTGGACTAGAAGACCTCCAAGGTCCCTTCCAACTCTGTTATTCTGGTTGAAATGAATATATCAACGCAGTTTTCTAAGATAAAAATAAAACATTTCCTTTCCTCCTTAGAATAATAGGGTGTATTCCAGCAGGCTGAATGTTTGTTGGAAGAGCTGACTTTTAAAGGTCCATTGCTGGAGTTGAAAGGTCATGGATTGAAAAGTCTATGACCACAGAAAGAATGTGGTCAACATTTTCATGGTTCTGAACCTCCTCCTCCTGCTTTTCCTCCGCCTCTTCTGTTTAAAATGTGGTTTTGATTGGTTGGTTTTTATTTTAGGCCAGGGCCATCTTTAATAGTAGGTCAAGTCACACTGTTTCCTACAATTCTTTTAAGGGCATGCAGGAGGTCAGGCATTAGTGATCTAGAAGACACAAAAGTAATCCGGAATGTAGTGTCCATCCAAGAAAACAGAACACAATGTTCTCCTTTTATAGACCAAACCGACTTGTCTGCTCTTTGTCCTGATGAGAAATAGCTGATTTAAAAATTGAATCAAAGTTCTTGAGATCATTTAAGTCATGAGCAGTGAGCTGCTGCGCTCTGTTGATTCAATATCTCAGTTCCATAAACTAGCACCGTGAGCCAGCCACAGATGGCTTGATGTAAGGGGGGTAAGAAGTTTGATGAAATGACAAATAAATAAGAAATTTCATGGAAATCTGATGACAAATGCATAGTGATGCCGTGATGCCGAATGTGAATTAATACTTGAGCCAAATTCCGTAACACACATGTTTTGTGTGATAAGAGTCATGACCTGTGCTTCTTCATTTCAGTTTTACTGCAGATTCTTGCAGATGTTGCTGTTCAGAATCTCTTGTTCTGAAAACATGGCAAACATGTTGAACCATCTTCAAAACAACTGCCGTTTGTTAATGATGCCCACTTAAGGCACAGTGGGTGGACAGGACTGGGTGATTTTGGATCAATGGACTATTCATTCCTAGCTAAGCCACCATGCTGCTATTTTGCTTCAGTCTGTCAGCTGAATGTACTAATTATGAAAAATATTGGTCCCTAATAGGCCATTTTTCAGGAGCCAAAATCAAAGCATTCTGGAGCCTGTTCAATGATATATGCATGCTTCTCTAAAATGTTTTGATTAAAATAACATTTTAAAAGGCACAATATAACATTTTAGAAATTCCTGCTGTTTTAACTTAATGGAAGCTAAAGCTTGAATGCTGAGAACCCCCCAAATTTTTCCTCCTCATCTCTCTCTTTCAAATTGATTTTTCCTGGGGGGGGGAAATGTATGGTAAGGCTCTTAAGCACTATAATTTTGGGGGAAGAATTTTTGGGGGCTCTTCATAGAAGGAGAGATAAAGACAGACTTTGGGGAGCTTATGAATGCTTCAGAAAAGTGTAACTGTTATTAATAGGGGCAAGTACTAACATTCACATCAAATTGGCTGAAATAGTCACATTAGGATACAGGTAGTCCTCGACTTATAACAGTTCGTTTAGTGATCATTTGACACTACAGCGGTACTGAAAAAGTGACTTATGATCCTTTTTCACACTTACGACTATTGCAGCATCCTCATGGTCACGTGATCAAAATTCAGAGGCTTGGCAACTGACTCCTATTTATGACGGTTCTCTGATCATGTGACCTTCTGACAAGCAAAGTCAACAGGGAAGCTGGATTCATTTAACAACCGGGTTACTAACTTAACAACTGCAGTGATTCGTTTAACGATTGTGGCAAGAAAGGCTGCAATACAGGGCAAAACTTATCTAAGTGTCTCCTTTAGGAACAGAGACTTTGGGCTCAATTGTGGTCGTAAGTTGAGGACTACCTGTAGCTTCTATCTTGGCTTGAAGGCGGGATGTCGGAGATTGACATTTGTGTCTGGTCTAAACAGAGTTACCGTTTTCTTTCAGTGGTTTATGAGCCACCGCCTCCCAACGCCTCGCTGCTCCATGTTGTCGTTTATTCTTTGTTTCCCATGACTGCTCTCTCCATTGCCATCTTGCTGGCCTTTTGGATGTACCGTCACCGCAAGCCTCCGTATGGGCACGTTGATGTCAGCGAGGTATGTGAGACGGATTCTGCTGAAGTAGCAATCTGTTCAAGGAACTCAATGCGGTCCTTCATTCCAGTGATGAAAAATAAATTGAATTTAAATTTTGAGCGTAGGGTGGAGGGGCGCAATGGCTTAGCGGTTAAAGACGCTGAACTTGGAGAGCTTGACTGCCCAGGCTTCAATACTTAAGTGCCACGCAATGGGCTAAGCTCCCATTCCTTGCCCCAGCTCCTGCCCCTCTAGCAGTTCTGAAGCTTGTCGATGTGAGTAGATAAACAGGTACCACTTCGGTGGGATGGTAACGGCGTTCCGTGCACCTTTGGCGTATAGCCATGCTGGCCACATGATCACGGAAATTGTCTTCAGACAACGCTGGCTCCCTCAGCTGAGAAACAGAGGTGAACATCATGTCCTAGAGTTGGACACAACCGACAGGGAAAACTTTTACCTTTTTATGTAGACCACCACTGTATAGCTTGTTAAAAACAAAGCCAAAACTAGGGTGAAAATGGTGACCCATGCTTGCTGGAGAAGGTTCCTGCCTTGCAATCCCTGGACTTCCTATTCTTGGTTTACTCCTCCAGACCAAATTGTCTAAAAACTGCTCCACTGAGAGAAGAAAAGAGATTCTATAGACTTCCTCTCAATTTGTGTCACTATTGGTACCTGCCAGCTCCATAGCAACTCCTACAAGAAATTCCTCCATACCTTGACAATATTTCAATTTTATCTGATTCCTATCACCCTCTTCCTTCCTTTCCTAGGACCCAGGACCCCCACCTCCTTCTCCAATGATTGGACTGAAGCCATTGCAGCTGTTAGAGGTCAAAGCCAGGGGTCGCTTTGGCTGTGTCTGGAAAGCACAATTGATGAATGAGTATGTAGCAGTGAAAATCTTCCCCGTACAGGTGAGGAATGGAATTATTTTCCAGTAACACCTGGAGCAAGGTAAAAATGTTTACAGAATTCCAAGTTAGCAATTTTATCAAGCGTTCCACGTTCTAGGTCTTCAAGGTAGGTAAAGTCTCTAGCAGTGTTTCTCAACCTTGACCCACTTGACGTTGAGGGACTTCCAACTCCCAGAATTCACCCACCGGCCATACTGGCGGAGGAATTCTGGGAGTTGAAGTCTACATCGCTTAAGCATTGCCAAGATCGAGAAACACCTAATAGGTAGAAAAACTTCAAACTTGAAAGTTTAATAGTTTCTCTCGACTCCATCTTATACCAAACAAATCAAGGGTTATTTTCATACTTCCTCAAAGCTGAGTTACCGTTTGCCGAACAGACTGCAGCCTAGTTGCATGATAGCCAAATGGCTTGGGGGTCCGTTTTGGATTGCACGCTAAGCCATTATTTATTCTCTAAGTGTGCAGGCAGCCTCTGTTCTGTGAACAAGCGAATGGCAATAGGTTCCCAGCTCCGTGAATCTGCAAACATTTTATATATTGCTGTTTTATGTTATTTATCTTGGCAGCTTCCTCAGGCGTGACAGCGGGGATAAAATATTTCAAATCACAAGGCGCTCTGATTCCAAAGTCTTGGAACCGTATCCTAAAGCCTTTCCCTAAATTGCCACAGGATCGTAATTTTTAATGCAAGAAGAGGGAAATCGTTAAATCTACGGCTTGTCAGTGCCTTTAATCTCAAAAAGATTGCCCCGTCCTTGCTAGAATTAAACATAAATAATGCACTTGGCAAAGACTTGAGACTCCATTATGTTCAGATTGACAGGAATCATTAGAAATTTTATTCTTCTTTCCTGGGTCATCTAAGAAAACAAATTTTACAGTACCTAGGTAACAGATTTTTGATAGCTTAAGCTATCATACAAACTTAAACAATGTCAAACATGTGAGATACTTAAACCGGGGAAGTATCTTCGGAATCATTTATTACAGGTAGTCCTCGACTTACAACAGTTCATTTAGTGACCGTTCAAAGTTACAACAGCACTGAAAAAACGTGATTTATGATGGTTTTTCACAGTTAAGACCTTTGCAGCATCCCCATTGGTCACGTGATCAAAATTCACATTTTGGCAACTGGTTCATATTTATGACGGTCGCACTGTCCTGGGATCACATGACCCCCTTTTGTGACCTTCTGGCAAGCCAAATCAATGGAGAAGCCAGATTCACTTAACAATCGAATTACAAACTTAATAACTGCAGTGATTCACTTAACAACTGTGGCAAGAAAGGTCGTAAAACGGGGCAAAACTCACTGGCAACAAAATGTCTCACTTAATAACAAATTTTGGGCTGAATTGTGGTCATAGGTCGAGGACTACCTATATTATTTTTATTTATTACATTTTTTACAGGTAGTCCTCGACTTACAGCAGTTCATTCAGTGACCGTTCAAAGTTACAACGGCACTGAAAAACGTGATTTATGACTGCATTTCACTTAACATCTGCCGCAAGAAAGGCCATAAAAAGCACTTAAATGTCTCACTTAGTGTTCGGCTCAATTGTGTTTGTACGTCGAGCACTACCTGTAATTGCAAAAACAAAGAGGACAAGAGTTCTGGAAAATAAGAAAGAAATGCAAAGATAGGTCAAATAACAGGACTATTTTTTGATGGATGGAGACGAAAAAACAGCACCCGGGTGGCTGTAACATCACCGATGTCTAGGGATGCCATTGTTCTCTGAACAGATTCATCTGTTTTTCTCCACTCTTTTTAACCTTCTGCCATCCCTCCAGGACAAGCAGTCTTGGCAAAGCGAGAGGGACATCTTCAACACCCCAGGAATGAAGCACGAAAACCTCCTGCAGTTTATTGCAGCCGAGAAGAGGGGAGCCAACCTGGAGACGGAGCTTTGGCTGATCACAGCTTTTCATGATAAGGTAACAAGGGCTGACTCGGTTGAGGCTTTGTTGACGGCAGGAAGACCAAGGACGCATGCATCTCCTCGTGGGGAGCATTTAAAAGACTCTTAGCAACACAGGGGGAGCCCCTCTCCCAGCTGGGCCAAGCTTCTGGCAACAGGTGCCTCTTCAGATGAACTTCTCCTACAAATCTAAGCACAGGTAGTCCTTGAGTTATGACTGGCCACTTAATGGTCGTTCCAGAATACTTACTTGAGGGGAAGGGCGGTATTTACAGTCTGGATTCAAAATTCTGATGTTCACACAACCACACTTCAAGGGCTCAGCAGCTGGACTACATTAACAGCTGTTTGCAGCATCCTGCAATCATATGCCTGCGTTTTATGATGGGTTTTTTGTGTGAAAATACAGCATTTACTTTCAGGTTTTTTGGCAAAACCTCTCATCATGAACCATTGGTTCCCTTAGGGACTTCACCACCCAAAAGGTCATAAAACAGGTCATTTCACGGTGTGTTACCTTACGACCAGCATAGGCAGGCTCCATTATGGCCATAACTCGAGGACTACCTGTAAGTGGGCTGAGTCATTGTAGCTGTATTGCTGTAAGTTCAGAAACGGCCCAACAAACTGAGCATTAATTTTCAACCCCATTGATTCCATTGGAGGATATTTAAGCTTGTGTTTAATTCTCTCCTGCAGATGAATGTCACTGGCAGAGAAGCAAGGAGAAATTTCCTGACAGTTAGAACAATTAACTAGTGGGACGACTTGCCTCCAGAAGTTGTGGGTGCTCCAATACTGGAGGTTTTTAAGAAGAGATTGGACAACCATTTGTGTGAAATGATATAGGATTTCCTGCCTGAGCAGGGGGTTGGACTAGAAGACCTCCGAGGTCCCTTCTGTTTTTCTGTTCTTGTGAGCACTCCCTGTGTGTGTGTGTGTGTGTGTGTGTGTCTTCTATGCAGAGTCATACTTTTACAACTGGCCCTTGGGCTGACTTCCAAAGAAGCATGCTTAAGATTCCTGCTTTAAAACACTGGCCAGGCTCACTGTAAATGCCACACACACACACACACACACACACACACACACACACACACACACACACACACACACACAAGGACCTGATTTGGGAGGGTGTCAAAAGAGTCATAGACATCACCTAGGTTTGTTCCCCCAGGGGTCTTTGACTGACTATCTGAAGGGGAACGTTGTCAACTGGAATGAGCTCTGCCACGTGGCGGAAACCATGGCCCGCGGACTCTCCTATCTGCATGAGGACATCCCCTGGTGCAAGGGAGAAGGACATAAACCTGCTATAGCACACAGGTAAGTCCCATTCTTAGTCTACTGTAACACTAAATCAAAGTTTGTTTACTTCTAGATCAGGAGTCTTCCAACTTGGCCCTTTTAGGACTGGTGGACTTCAACTCCCAGAATTCCTCAGCCAGGCACGCGTGCCTGGCTGAGGAATTCTGGGAGTTGAAGTCCATCAGTCCTAAAAGGGCCAAGTTGGAAGACCCCTGTTTTAGATGTTCATGCTGCTCTTCTTGGGAAGAAGCTCAAGGTGATGTATTGATCCCTTCCTCTTCCAATCTAAACAGCATGTGTTCCTCACACATCTCAGGGGAATTACAACTTCTTATGGGAACACTAACTATTCCTTGGTTTTCCTTTGAGGTAGCAGGTTAAATTGCTGGGAGTGAGTGAGGAGGGTGAACGTGGACAGGGGAAGAGCAATCCAATGGGACATCCTGACCCTCCTGCGAGTTTCCATGCCAGTTGCCCCAGGATTATTTAACCAATAGGTCTCTCTCGCAGAAAAGCAGTTTCTACTAAGCTAGAAACTGAAAACTTAACATCGTAGCTTTTTGCTTGCTGCGCTGCTGCCCCCTAATGGCACTTAATTTCAGATACAATACAGTAAATCCACTTCAGACGTACTCCATTCCTTCATTCCATCATTTATGTGTTGGAACTACCGTTTCCTTCAGTGAAGATATTCTTCCTCTTCTTTCATCTGGGCAAAAATGAATGTGAGGGGAAGGGAGGGGGAGAGGAGGGGAGGGGAGGAGAGGAGGGGAGGGGAAAGGAGAAGAGGAGAGGAGAGGAGAGAAGAGAGGAGACATCTGGACAAAAATGAATGTGAGGGGAGGAGAGGAGAAGAGAGGAGAGAAAAATTGGTGGCCTTGTCCACAACTGTAAGGGCCACGAAACAGCTGCTGGGACTTAGAACCATAGAATACTCACCCTTGTCTTAAGTAAGCTTTTCATCCACCAGGTAGTCTGTAGAAATAATGTCTTTCCAATCCCTGCAAAGGAGAAAGGTGGTTTGTGAAACATGGCAAGCCCAGAATATCTGCACCTTTTTCTTTCATTATCTGGACCTCTCATCAGCGGCTTAGGAGAACACACAAAGCTACGGCTTACTGAATTCAAACGGGGTCCGAATAATGAAAGGATTTAGTTGTTGTGAATTCTGTAGCCTAATCCCCTTTCTCTTTTAATAAATCTGGACAGGGAAGCCTCTGTGAGAATCTTGGTTTTGGGTGTACTTGGCTCTCAGAAGTTTGACTAATCTGGCATAAGGTCTCTCGGATGGTTTCTCCGCCAACTTTAGCAGCTTTAACGTATAACCAGTGCCTGGGAACTGTCTTTCCTCTTTTCTCGCCCTACTTGAAAAACAAAACAAAACAAAAAATTGTGGGTCAGGAGGGAGTGAAAATTTTCCTTCGGGATACTGAACACCCTGGGAATTCATTGCATTTTCCCTCCACCCTTTTGTGAGTGCTGACTCTCCATAGGAGCATCTCTCTTCATGACATATTCTGACAGAGCATTTCATGGGGTGGGGGGAAACCGTAGAATCTGCTCTCATTAATTATATTGCTTGGCCCCACACTTGTCCTGTGATCCAGCCGGTCAATTGAATTGATGGCAAGAGAATTATAATGCCAAGCACACGTGGGTCTACCATCTGCTGGCTCAAGCCTGTAATTTAATTATATTCAACCCCTTTCTTCTCCTCCTCCTCCTCCTCCTCCTCCTCCTCCTCCTCCTCCTCCTCCTTCTTCTTCTTCTTCTTCTTCTTCTTCTTCTTCTTCTTCTTCTTCTTCCTCCTCCTCCTCCTCCTTCTCCTTCTCCTTCTTCTTTTGTGTGTGTTCTCCCCCATTGCTACTGAAGGAAACTCCAGGAGTAGCTTAGTAAGCACAGGGGTTTAATATAAGAGGTAGATAAGGAAGAAATAAAGCTGACCAGCTAGAGGTCAAAATCCAAGGCAACATTCTAGATGCCAAGCATGCTTTCTAGAAAAGAGCTGGCTAAGGAATCAAGAGTATAAAACAAGGGGTCTTCAAACCTGGCCCTTTTATGAGTTGTGGACTTCAACTCCCAGAATTCCTCAGCCAGCATGCCTGGCTGAGGAATTCTGGGAGTTGAAGTCCACAAGTCATAAAAGGGCCAGGTTTCAAGACCCCTGGTATAAAAAGAAGGATGCCATTGCACATGACTTGTGTTAATGTTGGCCTGGCTATTATTCTTACTGATTTCCTCCCCCGTTTGGGATCTTTCTCATAAATTGGGTTTGCATCCACCTGTCGATGTTATCGTTGACAAAAATCTCACATACATGATTTTTTTTTTGATGTTGATAATGCGCTACATTAAATGCCCATCCCTTTTCGTTTCCTTGCAGGGATTTCAAGAGCAAGAATGTACTTCTGAAGAATGACTTAACTGCCGTGCTTGCTGACTTCGGACTGGCTGTACGCTTTGAACCCGGGAAGCCTCCAGGAGATACTCATGGACAGGTAAACCTCCAGGTTAGCGTACACTACTTCATTTCGCAAACCTAATTTGGAAGGTGGGCGAAGATAAGACAAATCCAGTGCCTGGGTTCTGTATCTTGAAAAACAAGTCACAATTGTTGTATACACATGATAGTATACAATTTATCCTTTCTCAGCACCATTGTTATTCTGAACAGTCACTGAACGAGCAGTCAGGAAGTGAGAACTACCTATATTCTTTTAGGAAGCATCAGCAAGTCAATTGATCTTGTCAAAATGGTAGACAGCTCAATGTCTGCCAATACAAGAGAATCTTCATAGCTCAAGTTTGAACTGTGGGATCCCTGGTGCTCTTTGAGCTTGGTTGTTTTCTTGCGAGCGTTTCATTGCCCAACTAGGTAATGTCATCACTGCTGCTATCCATGGGTGGGGGGGGGGGTGTCTTGGGAGGAACCATAGGAAGTTGCTGTAGAGAACATTGGGTAGGATGGTCTGTGCCACAGAGTATGAGATCCTTGGGAGATGAAGCCGTGGAAACAACCTCTGACTTTCCCTGCTGACTTCCCCATTGACTTTGCTCATGGGAAGCCAGCGGGAGAGATTGCAATCATGTGACCATTGGCTCACTACAACGTCATAATTGCGAGCTGGACACCCGAGCACCCAGATCGTGATCCCATGATTGTGAGGACTCTGTGACAGCTGCAACATCACAGACCAGTTGTAAGTACCCTCATTCGGTAGCATATTAATTTTGAACGGTCATCGAACAAGGCATGATAACTCAAGGACTATCTGTAACCAAGGTAATATCAACAACTATTGCTATTGTTTCTGCTTTTTCCTCTCCTCCTTTTTATTGTTCTCTCTCTCTCTCTCTCTCTCTCTCTCTCTCTCTCTCTCTCTCTCTCTCTCTCTCTCCTTTCTTTCTTTCTTTCTTTCTTTCTTTCTTTTTTAAAGAACCAGAATTTGAAAGTATGGGAATCTCCTCTTCAGGTTTAGTTCCAGTAACTGATTCCTGTGTCTGTTATAGGTGGGAACTAGAAGATACATGGCTCCTGAGGTCCTGGAGGGAGCAATTAATTTCCAGAGAGATTCCTTCCTGAGAATTGACATGTATGCCATGGGCCTGGTATTGTGGGAGTTGGTTTCCAGATGCACAGCAACTGACGGCAAGTTCCAATGTCCTTTTGCCATAACTGTTCTTGCTTCCTCAGAAATTATGGATACTGTATGTCCAACCCATTTGATGTTAGATTATGGAGATTTAGTTCAGAAAGATGTTGACTTGTAGCATATCAACACAATATATTAGCTTTAAAAAACAAAAACAAAATAAATGGAAAAAAAACCCTGTCCTCTGCAAATCTATCTCTTGTTCAAAGAGAACTAATAAGAATACAGTAAATAGTTCTTTAAGTAGCTGCCCAGAGCTGGGCAGCTATGTAAACATTTTAATTAAATAAATAAACGTTACAGCTATTACTTGAGGAGGAAGCAAGGGGGATGTACAGTAAGGGAGGGAATCAGACCGAGAATCTGCTTTTATTGCCCCTACAGCGTTGGAAAGCTGGGTAGAAGACTAAACAATGCTGATTTCCAACATTAGCCTCAAATAAATGATTCCATTTAAACAAGGAAATAAGTAATTAGTACATATTCCTGTGAAGCATACAGTTTAATACAGCTGTGGGAGGGGTACCAATTAATCGGAGCTGCCTGTTGGTTCCAGTGGTCTGTATTTGATAGCAGTGTCTTCTCTTTTGCAAAAACAGGTCCAGTGGATGAGTACTTACTGCCTTTTGAAGAAGAAATCGGCCAGCACCCATCTCTTGAGGAGCTGCAGGAGATTGTGGTCCATAAGAAGATGCGCCCGGTGTTCAAGGACCATTGGCTTAAACACCCTGTAGGTCCTTCCTTGATGCTTACATTTCCCCCCGCCCAAATGTCCATGTGATTTAGTAGAAGGCAGTCCTCAACTTACGGCCACAATTGACCCCCCCCCCCCCAGATTTCCAATGCTAAGAAAGACAGTTGTTCAGTGAGTTTTGCCCTATTTTACAACCTTTCTCGCTACAGCTGTTAAGTGAATCACTGCAGTTGTTAGTAATGTGGTTGTTAAGTGAACCTGGCTTCCCCATCGACTTTGCTCATCAGAAAGTCACAAAAGTTGATCACATGACTCCAGCAATGCTGTGACTGTCATAAATATGAACCAGTTGCCCAGCATCCAAATTTTGAAAATCTGAACTTCTGACTGTCTTCCTCCCCAGGGGCATGTGATTGTACTCTGGGCACTCAACAACATGGCCACAATTGCAGCCATTTGCAGTGTCCCAAAACTTTTATGAGTTTTGCCAAAAAAAACCCAGCCTGGCACTTAGGCGGGTTTTTTGGCAAAACCGCACCATGGCCAACAATGTCTTTACTCAACAAATAAGACATTTGCTTAGCAATCATGGCATTTGCCCTTATGTCTACCACGTTTGTTTAACAAACACCACAAAAGAGGTAGTAAAGTCCAATCAGTCACATGACTTGACTCGTTTTGTTACGCTGTTACGACTTACAACTGTAATGAGGAAGCTGCATTGCTGCCGTACCACCAGTGCAACCTGTATTATCTGGCCTCCTCAAGCTACATCGATCCACTTTCTCTTGCTAAATTCTTCTTTCCTTTCTCTTTGGCCACCCAGGGCATAGCCCAGCTGTGTGTTACCATTGAAGAATGCTGGGATCATGATGCGGAGGCCAGACTGTCAGCCGGTTGTGTGGAAGAGCGCATTGCCCAGATTCGCAAATCAGCCAATGGTAGTACCCTCGACTGCCTTGTTTCCATCGTGACCTCTGTCACCAACGTAGATTTGCTGCCCAAAGAGTCAAGTATCTAAATCCTTATTTGCCTTTTTTTTTCCCACTGGTCTCTTCAGACGCAGTGGATTTTTTTTTCAAAAAAAAAAAAAAATTGCAGAATTCAACACACACACGCATACATATACATGAATGCAGCTGCTATTTTCTTGACTTTTCTTGCTATTGTTATTATTTGTTGTTGTGTTGTTGTTGTTGTTGTTTTGACTGAATCAATTTACCAGCATATTGCTCTACTGTATTGAAAGAGAAAAAAAAATTAAGAGAAAGACATCTCTCTGAAAGCATCCAGGTGCCGACTAATGAATGCAGTTACAGTGCAGGTACCTCAAAACCTCAGTGAACTCTTTGATTCCTTTATTAACCTATTTTCTCTTCTAACTAACCTGCAATTTTTACACCAAATATCAGTGATAACAAGAAAACGACCTACTCATCTTCTTATACATGCTGCAAAATCAAGACTGTTCCATGAGATCATACCTCTCAAAAGAACGGATTCCCCGCCCCCCCTCTACTACTTTTCCTTTTCTTGCTTTTCTATTTTAGACAGTGAGCTTAAAAAAAAAAAGAAAAGAAAAAAGCAGATGTGTCTTTTACGGGTCTAACGGGTGTTGCCGTGTTTGTGTGTGGGGGGGAGTGATTGCGTCGAGAATATTAACTGATGATGGTAGAACCGAAGACGAGAAGTTGAAGGCTGGGTGGGGAAGAGATGGTGGACTATTGCAGCATTTGGAGAAACAATGGCTAAAGAATTACTTCTCAGGAAAACAGTTAATGAGAGGATGGGCAAGTTTTGAGGCAGACTATTAAACTGCTGCAACATGCAGAAAAAGTTGGGTCACAACATCACTGATACAAATGGATTCTTAAATATCTCAGGCTTGAGAAATGTTAAGTGAAATCAACCCTTTCTATTACATTTATAAGTTCAGAGAATGAGGTCTTAGGATTCAACAACTGCAGATTTCCCTCAGTTGTCTTAACAGGGCAGCGTTACAGCCCTAAGCGATTTTTCTGCCATTGTAATACAAAAATAAAATACAGAAGACAACAAGCGTCTGACCTGGAGCTTTAAAAAAAAAGCCCAGTCTATCCAGTTATGTATTGGCATTCGGTATTCGATGTCATTCATGATGTGAAACAACCTTTCTTTGAAGGCTCATTGAAATCAGTAAAACTTACTTCCAAGTAAATGTAGCCAGGACTAATAAAATTCAATTTCACTCTTAGATCTTAACATCTGCAGAGCAAATGTCAAGGCTGTTTAGCTGCTATGACTATCAAGAATTGTAAAGGGAGATAATGATTCCCCATTAAGGACACATAGAAACGCCATCACCAATTGTCCCTGAGACTTCATGGGAATGTATGTGTGTATATTGAAGAAAAAAAATATCAAGATGGCAGCTGTGATCATGGCCATCTTAACTTTTTTGACACCTTCTCTGTCCATGTCTCCATAGTCCTTTGGCAAAAGTCATGGCGACTGAATACAGTTGAATAGAGTTGTCTATCTTTCTTTGATTTATAGTAAGGATAGGTGTAGTTTAGGCCAATGTTTCTCAACCTTGGCAACTCACATCTTTTAAGAATTCTGTTTCTAAGTATACTTTTACACTTTATACACAAATTCCTTTGCTTTCAACATAGCTCATAGCTGGTTGAAATTGATGGGTTTGATTTTTCTTGATTCTTCATTCTCTGAAGACTGTCACCCAACTTTTTCGTCTTAACAGTGGTGCATATTTTCAATACACTTAATTCTACTACGCCATATAAAATCCGCTCTAGTCAGTGAATACTCCTAATGCTGCCAATATAACATTTAAATATTTTTTTAACTTGCAAGACATGCAATGATTTATAAAAGAAATAAACTTAGAATACACATACACATGAAGTGGCTTTTGAGGTTTTAAACTAAAAAAAAAGAAAAACCTTCATGACCACAGACCACCTCAAACCAGAAATACCTCAAAATTTTCTACTTGTATGAGTTTTATTATATATTTTGTTAGTTGTGTTATCTTGGAGTATGTAAATTTTAATGTAAGTTGGCTTTTATGAAAAGGGAGTTTTAAAAAAAGAAGAAGAAAAAAGAAAAAAATTCCCCAATCTTTTAGAAAATGCTACCACTTCTTTCTGTTTTCTTTCTATAAAGCACCATTGTAAATAAGTGTAAACAATTATAGAGGAATTGGCTATACAAGATTCCTGGACATATTCACCATTACTTGTGAAGGCTTGTTTCCATTTTTAAAAATTTTGGTGGGAGTAGTAGGAGCACAAGTTGTTTTAGTAAAGAATTATTAGTACAGCATTTCCTTTATGAAATGTTTCCCCCGGGAGATGCTAGTCCATGAATGAAAATTATTTTCTTTAGATTTGTTATTCAGCTATTGGTTGACTGATACCCAGTTAACACAATACAAATGATCATTCAGTTAAAAACAAAGGTTGCAATGCAATTCCTTTTCCCCAAGGCATTTTAATTAACTGTAGAAGAATCTCAGAGAAGCTTTTCTAACAAATAAAGAACAGCAAAAAGGAAACTAATCTTGCCAAATGGGCATGTGGAAGCAGAGGTGCCCAAAACAAACTGCTTTTTTTGGTTTTGTAAGACAAGAGGGAGAGAGTTGCTTTTGACTGCTTGTGAATGTGCAAAAAAATATATATATATAGTAGTTTCACTCTGCATGCTTCTGTAACTATTTCAAGAGAGGGAAGAACTGAAATTCGAGATTTTATCCTTTTCTTGAGAAACAGCTGCTTCCCTAATAAGGAAGCAGAAATACTGATGCTTCTTCTCTTTGCTCAGTGCTTGAATATCTAAACTATTTAAGGTAACCATGAGCAACCCTGGACTTAACTGAAATACGTTAGGTTTGCTTTTGCATAAGTTAAAATTGAGGAAGATGAGCTAATTTATTACTTCAAAAAATGCAGACACCTTTTCTGTACTTCGGGAGTGGGTTTCTGTTAGGGAACAAGTGGTGGCGTGTATGTAATCGTACAGCTGCCCTAATGTATATATTTGTCTCAGGTGTCCTGCAACTTGTACATAATGGCAGCATTTGCAGAATTACATCACTGTGCAGATGTCATTTTGGTGTCATTGCAGCTTCTGCAGGCGCCGTGAACGTCTTGGGGATTTATTCAACATTTGTCAGTGACTAGTATCTTAAAGACCAATTTTGCATACGATTGACTAAACAGGATGATAGTTTCATTGGTCATGGATTGTACATTTTTCCCGGAATAGACTTTCATCGTTCTTCGCTGTTTTATATCAAGATTAAGCATCTGATTGATTCAGAAACTTGATTCAGCATTGGCTCTATTAAAAAAAAAATCTTAAGAGTCAGCGATTTAATGCATTCAGAATATACAAGATGGGTGGAAAGTGGTTGCCGCATTTGCTCTGCAAAGCCTCAAGCCACTGCAGAACCCAAACTAAGACAATTTGTGACCCACCATGTACTGTGACTTGCCAAGTTATTAGCAACTCCTTCGATTTTTGCAGTCTCGATGTAAGTGATTTTTTGAGCAGAGACTATAATTTTTCACAGGGGAGTAGCAGGCTGTATTCGGAAGGCCACCAATTATGAGGCCTCAACAAAGTTTTAATTTATGTCTTTATGAATGATCATGTTGCCCTTAAAAACAGAGGCTTCAGGAAAAACAAAGTGAAGGAAAATAGATCCAATAGGATGAAATAAACCTTGACATCTGTATGTCACTAACAGTCAAGGTGTGTGGTTAGCAGTGAGAAAGATTCACTGTTATTATTGCTGTGTTGCTTCAAGTATGCTTTTTCCTGTTTTGCAGCATTATTCCTATAATGGTTAAAATAAGCTTGGTACAGCAGTTGCTTTGCTTTTCCAAGAAACAAAAGTTTCGAGAAGCTTTAAGTATTGATAGAAAGTGCCATATAGAGGTTGTTTTTGTGTTTTGTTCATTAGGAGTGTTCTTAGTCGTTCCTGCATAAAGAGAGAAGCATATCTGTGTTATATTCATACCCATCATACGGGTTGAGTCAAACCTAATTTTGCGCCAGATTGACTTCTTCTTACTTACATTTCCTTGCTACAGATCATTGCCAGTTGCTTTGGTTAGCTGTGATTCAAATGTGAACATATACATATTTCTTAGCTAACATGTGTTGTCCATATCTTTTTTTTTGTTAGCTTCTTGGATTCTCAGCCTTCCCATATGTGGTACCCATCTCCTAGAATTCCCACACTGCATGGCCAAAACTGCTGTTGGCTCAAAAATCTGCAATCCAGACCCATCTGGCAGACTCCAGGTGGAAAAAGGTTAGCCTATAGCATCTCCGGTGTCTGACAGTCACATTTACCTATTAATGATGCAGTTTTCCTGTTGTGTAATTGCATTTTTTCCTAAACAGCGCATCTCTTTAATCTTCCTGGCCTTCAGTTGGTCTTATATATTTAATATTAAAAAGGTTCTTGATATAGCAATAAAGGAGCTCAATCACAAGTATAGCTATGCACGAGAGGAAAAAAAATATTTTCAAATAAGATTTGGTCTACATAGAACTATGCCAATTACCGTAAGTAGTGGTGGTTTGAATATATTTCATTTGCTGAAATTGGGACCATTTTTTTAAAAAAAACAAGGCTGTCCTTTACATAACAAGTGGGATTTTCTCTCGGGTAAGGGGGGCATATAGAGTTACAGCTCGAAGCTTACTTCATTTTATACCCTATTCACTCATCACATTAAGCCACAATGGAATTGGAGAAATATTTTTAGTGCGATGTGCGAATCATGAAATCGTCCAATCCATGTCCAATTTTTTTAAAAAAAGTGTACTGCAATTAAGATGTTTGTATTTCTAGGTTCAGCCTGTCCACATAGCTATTTTTGTTCCTTCTTTGGTACAGGGCAACTTAAATTAAAACCAATAGGCAAATAAAAAATCTATGCCACTTTTTGATCCTAGTAAAGAGACACTGCCAAGTTCGAATTCTTATCTAGAAGCAAAAAAAAAATTTTTTTTAAAGAAATAAAGCACATTATATTTAGAGCCCTTAGTGTTATGCAACATTTTCATGATTATCCAAGACATACAGGGTTTCCTCATTTTTCAGTACAAGTGATTCTGTTTCACAATGTTAGCAATAGTGACAGGATAAAAACATTTGAAACTTGATTTTGACATTGATTAGTAATGGAAAAGCTAATTATGTTTACCACTGCCCCAGTTCAGATACAGTGATATACCAAGATTAGCAACAAAATATGAGAAGTGGAGAAAATCATATAAGTGTGAGTTTTAATTTGGTTCTCCCAAATTCTTAATCATGATCATGTTTGGAAAATGTTCTGCCAATTGAATTAAGTCAGGATTTGCTAAGGCAATATGCATGAGATAGAATTCCCTGTAGATGTGTTTTGGCTTTTTATATCTCAAGGTAGCGATTTATTTTTATAGATATCTGAATTTTTTATTCAGGGATACATTCCTAGATTAAACATATTTTTAAATATATGCTGAGAATTCCAGAATGATCAGCCACATAATAATTGTTTGGAGAGCCCATAGCCACTTGGTTAACAGTTTTCCTACAGTAAAATTTAATAACCTAGGTAGGAATCCATGTTCTGTAAGAGAAGAAATCACTAGGGCCTTTCTTATGCTATATTTGGCTGGCTTGGTAGGAGACAGGGAAAGATATGCCATTGCTATCTTCTAGCATTGTGGGGTATAAACCTCATATTGTGGTGCCATTTTATCTATCAGTAATGTACGCATTGTGAGCTATATGAAGTAGAAATCTTAGGCAGTTCAGCAAAAAGCTTAAATCAATTTAATGGTTTAAAACATATATGTACTAGTGTGAATGTGTTCTTAATCTTTTCAGTAGATTCTATTTTATGCATTTCTACTTTTTCTAGAGGTGGATCTATTGCCAGACAATGGCACAGAATATAGGTCCACCACTTAATAGTTGTTTCAGTGTTCATTAATTAATAAAAGATTTTCAGTGAATTTTCTAAAATCTGTAAGGTCTATGTGCTCTTTCTGAATATTTTTAGCGATCTGAGACTTGAGTTTAGTGCCCCTTAGTCATAAATAAACACAGCTGGCTCTGATTGACAAGGGAGTTACCATTTCAGGGCTGATAGTTATGAATTCTAATGCTTTTTATTTGTGCCTTCATTTATTTTAATGCAAAGCAACTGCTGTAAACTCTTAAAACTTTTTTTTTCAGTCAGGGTTAAGACAAAGTGAGGCTTAGAAGCTAGAAGCTGCTTTTTATAACTTTCTTATTTCTGGGTTTGATTTTTCATCCAATCTATTTGAGGATCTATCATCCTCAAATTTCACATTAATTCAATATTTCTTTCTGGATACTTCTTAACAATGTAGCAGCATTTGCAAACAAGAAATCATTCTATAAAATGAAGAAATTTGAGGGAGAGGGGAATGGAACTGTTCCTCGCGGAGTAAACACGTAAAAATAAGCTGGTGGTTATTTCCCACAAATATTTACCTAACAGGCTGCTTTGTCAAATACACAATTTTCTTGGATTTATGTAGTGGCAAGAAAAAATGCTTCTTTTCTATAATATTTGGATTTCAGTTTTGTATTGGGTTAAATTTCCTGATTATCTTGACAACTTTTGCTTTCTGCTTCTAATAGCAAACAGGTACCGAAGGATATCACGAGAGGATAATTGTTTGGGGAAGGGGTGTAACAGACTGAGCACATGAGTTATTTACTGAGCCCTTTAGAAAAAACTGGTCTACCCCATTACTTTGTTACAGCAAAATAGAACATTACCATTTTCTCTGGAATAAAATTCTGTAGCATTAATTTCATTAATCTTGACTTGGTAGGGAACTGCACTTTTTAAAAAAAAATCTATTTATATATTCCCATAACTTTCATCGCTGGTCATCAATATATTAAAATCTTCTCATCAAAATTCAAGTTTGGTGGTACAACAGAAATTAATTTTCACATGTATTTTTCCTTTTTAAACGTATAAGTACATCGATTATTCATAATTTTTCTGGTGATGAGAGGAAAACATCTTCTCTACTAAAGCTACTTTCCATATTAATTTATATTGTTGGATACATCAAAGTGATTACTATTCTTCATCTCCAATGCTATGCCCTACATTAACAAAATGCCAAGGGCCTTCGTCTTGCTGCTGTCCACATTTTAAAATGCAAATGGAACTGTACAATCTTTCACCTATGAATATCTGTTGTCCCTAATTTTGATGACTTTTCTAATGTAAAATTAACCTAAGTACAGTTTGGTAATTCTTATGGAAAGAGCTTTCTGTATTATTTAGTAGCATTGGATTTTTACACTAAAAGTTGAAGAACAAAAATTGGAAGGAAAACAAGACAAAACAAAAATCCCTAATTTAATCCAAATATTTGGTGGTGGTTCATTTAAATTGTGAGGTTTATTCAAGGAAACCAGATAAAGATCTTAAAATTACCTTAACATAGTGAAATGTTAATCAATTTTATGATGAATAGTTGCATCTTATTAATAAATTATATTATCTGGTCTAAACAGGAGTTTGCTGGCTTCTACAAAATTTTCAGTTTTGGGTTTCTGACAAATTTCAGAAATAAGAATTAATTTAGGAAATACTAAATGCAGAAAGCTCTATCAAATCT